ATTTATTTTTATGACCAACCTTTCGGAAGGCCGTAGTGTGTTCGAGAATGAGTTCATGACACTTCTCTCCTAAGAGAGAAGGAACGCCACGGGGCGGGGTACCTTTGGGTACATCTCTTCAAGCCTAGCCCTCACCTAGACGAGAACCTCCCTCTTGCCCAAGTCACGGGCCGGGACCTTTATTTTAGGCACACCCATAAGTTGGCGTCTTAAGTATTCGAAAAAGCGTGTTTCACCTAAGCCGTCAGGGCAGAAGGCCAACACATAGAGTGGGAACACTTTTAATTAAAAAAGCGAACCCGTGATTTTTTATCATTTTTATTTCATATAAATATGAAAATAAACGATAATGATCCTTTCGCAGGTTCACCTACGAAAACCTTGTTACGACTTTTACTTCCTCTAAATGATCAAGTTTGGTCATCTTTCCGGCACTTCGGCTCGACCACGAAGGCCAATCCGAGCGCCAGTCCGAAGACCTCACTAAATCATTCAATCGGTAGTAGCGACGGGCGGTGTGGACAAAGGGCAGGGACGTAATCAACACGAGCTTATGACTCGCGCTTACTGGGAATTCCTCGTTCAAGGGGAACAATTACAAGCCCCTATCCCAAGCACGAAGGAGGTTCAACGGGTTACCCAGTCCTGTCGGACAGGGAGAGAACACGCTGATTCCTTCAATGTAGCGCGCGTGCGGCCCCGGACATCTAAGGGCATCCCAGACCTGTTATTGCTCTGTCTCGTGCGGCTAAACGCCGCCTGTCCCTCTAAGAAGAACGTCCGACGCAAGAGGATCGGGACGTCTATTTAGTAGGCTAGAGTCTCGTTCGTTATCGGAATTAACCAGACAAGTCGCCCCACCAACTAAGAACGGCCATGCACCACCACCCACAGAATCAAGAAAGAGCTCTTAATCTGTCAATCCTTCCTGTGTCCGGGCCGGGTAAGTTTTCCCGTGTTGAGTCAAATTAAGCCGCAGGCTCCATTTCTGGTGGTGCCCTTCCGTCAATTCCTTTAAGTTTCAGCTTTGCAACCATACTTCCCCCGGAACCCACAAGCTTTGGTTTCCCGGAAGCTGCCCGGCGTGTCATTTGAGGAACACAGCCGGATCGCTGGCTGGCATCGTTTATGGTTAGAACTAGGGCGGTATCTGATCGCCTTCGAACCTCTAACTTTCGTTCTTGATTAATGGAAACATTCTTGGCAAATGCTTTCGCAGTAGTTCGTCTTGCGACGGTCCAAGAATTTCACCTCTAGCGTCGCAATACGAATGCCCCCGTCTGTCCCTCTTAATCATTACCTCGCGTTCCGAAAACCAACAAAATAGAACCGAGGTCCTATTCCATTATTCCATGCACCATTATTCAGGCGTCGCGCCTGCTTTGAGCACTCTAATTTTTTCAAAGTAAACTTGCCGGTCACCCGAGACAACCGGTGAAGATCATCAGGGGAAACCGGCGATAACGCCGAGCACAGACAGTGACCACCGGTAGGCGGACCGCCCGGCTCGAGCTGAGATCCAACTACGAGCTTTTTAACCGCAACAACTTTAATATACGCTATTGGAGCTGGAATTACCGCGGCTGCTGGCACCAGACTTGCCCTCCAATGGATCCTCGTTAAAGGATTTAAAGTGTACTCATTCCAATTACGGGGTCTCAAAAGAGTCCCGTATTGTTATTTTTCGTCACTACCTCCCCGTTCCGGGAGTGGGTAATTTGCGCGCCTGCTGCCTTCCTTGGATGTGGTAGCCGTTTCTCAGGCTCCCTCTCCGGAATCGAACCCTGATTCCCCGTCACCCGTTACGACCATGGTAGGCACATAACCTACCATCGACAGTTGATAAGGCAGACACTTGAAAGATAAGTCGCCGGGACGAGCCCGTGCGATCAGCCCTAAGTTATACAGAGTCACCACAAAGAACGGACCCGGAGGCCCGATTGGTTTTGGTCTAATAAAAGCGCTCGTTCCCGAAGGTCGGAGCTCTGCTGCATGTATTAGCTCTAGAATTGCCACAGTTATCCAAGTAGTAAGGTACGATCCAAGGAACCATAACTGATTTAATGAGCCATTCGCGGTTTCGCCTTAACACGGCATGGACTTACACATGCATGGCTTAATCTTTGAGACAAGCATATGACTACTGGCAGGATCAACCAGGTAACTTCCTCGTTCTTACGAACGTTCGAAGAAGTGCTTAATATTTGGCACCTTTTCGAATCCGAGAGGCGTGTCGCGACCTGAGGATCGCGGGGGACAACCACGACGACGGTGGGTCCCTCTGTTACACAACGCTTCGAATCGTGATTCGACAGGGCTTTCTCTAGACGGTTCTGCACTCACGACATCCCCAACGGCGGCGACGCCGAGGGGAGAGTTCGTGGACATCGAGATTTCAAAGGGCGTAGGACATACGCGCAGGAAACCAAACAATTCCTTTAATTACGGTTCTGCGTTGTACGGCAACGGCACGGGGGCCGAGCCGATCGCAGAGTAGCCAAGACGGGTTGGGAAATTTTTTCCCCCGGGGAACCCGGGGAAAGAGTGAAGGTGGCGGGAAGCGCATCGCTTTCCGCGAAACGCCCGGACCGGGGGCGAAGTGGCTCGCACAGGGATAGAGAACCTATCCTCCGTGAAATCCACCCGCTTTCAACGAAACAGAAGCGAAACTCGCGGGTAGCCACACACGAGAACGCCCACAGCTTCGTTGCCAATCCAGACTCGCGAGAACACACGCGACACCAGCGCGTCTCGTCTCGCTCGCTCTCTCACTCTGACTGCTCTTTTATTTCAGCAGTCAACCACCACCCAAAGAAGACAAAACACGAGGTCCTACCTATTCGTATTAAAAACCCCGTTTCCCACTCAGGGGATTACACTCCACGGTGAAGAATCTCACTCGAAGCGTCAACCAAAAATCGCTTGCATGCGGGCTTTCACATGCCACACCTTGTACGGCTCTTATACCGATGTCGTCATTTTTGGACTTAGAAAAAATTCTCTACAACTCTAACCCCTCCCCATCATACACATATTAATTATTTATATCTATTGTAACAAATATATATTCATAAGAAAACAAGTTATGTATGTATATAGTATCTATATTTCATAATATTATATTTATATATATATAAATGTATTTAATTTAAATTAGGACATATATTTTATATTCCAATTGAATACCATTATAAATTACTTACCATATATTTGCAGTGGTTCACATTTGCGTAATCAATAAAAAAAAAGTTCTTATATCATAATTATAAATCGATTAATAACTGATGTTGTTGTGTCCCTCATGGGAGGATGGATGCAGCTTCTGTTGTGATGGAGCACCCGTAGGTAGAAGTCTGACTTCTGCTCCGTGACGCTCTTACAGTCATAGGAGACTGGGACTTAAGGCTTACATTAAATTCAATTCAGAACCACTACAAACATCCATGGCACCGCCGGGACTCGAACCCGAAACCTGTGGCACCGAGCGCCAAACACTGGGCCATTCAGGCCACAATAACTGATATCATGCTTTTGTTTAATTGTTTACATTTCTCATAAACCATCTATAATAATTAAGAATTTATTCTAAAAACTGAATTTTATCATTTTAAAGTTAAAGAAATGGAGTTATTTATATTTAAACGCGTGTAAAATATGCAAGTTTCTTAGCAACTGCGGTAAGGGTCTTAGGGGTTAGTGTTTTATGAAAATTCCTTATTTATAGGTCACAATCCCAAAAAGAGCAAAATGGGTATTATTCGATATATATCAACATCTGTTGTCTATACACATATAATAAACCGTTATGCATGCATAATTTATATTAAACTCACTTATTTTTAACTTTTATGTTGTTATTTTCATTTTCACAATGTTCTTCAATATTTCTTGTATAATAAAATACTTTTACTAGTTTTACTAATTAAGTTAAAATAGTTTATTCTAATATGTATATAGTTTTATAATATAGCTTTTATTCTAATATGTAGGCTTATTGATGCAAATCTGTTCATGAGTATTTACGTACGTTACGTACGACTTACGGTTTAATTGTATATTTTAGAGGGGCAATATGTACGAAATTTATATATATTCGTCATGTATCGATAAACATTTGATATAATTATTGTTTTCTATATGAACAATTAGATTTTTATGCAAATATAAATTATTATATACGGTATAAAAGTTGACCGTACGGTTAAAGTTTCATTCGGTTTTTCTGTTTATCGACTTGGTCTGTAACATAATAAGATATACATAAAATAACAACGTTGAGTATTATATTAAATCACAACGCATTACCGATATGCAGAATTGAGCGAAATGCATATTTCATTTCATTTTTTTTAACTTCAAGAAATAACTTAATTTAATTCAACTTTCATTCATTTAATTTAATAATTTCACTTAACTTTTAATTCATTAAATAACTTTTTAAACAACATTATTTACTTCAATAAATAAATAACTTTAACTTCAATAAATATATGTA